AAAAAAGCCTAACTGCCACGAAATGGAAAGTTTCTTGCATGAAAGGGACAGCGGGATGTTTGGCGGCAACCACAGCGCCAGGTCGTTTCCTCGGACTTTTTAGGCAGTTTCTCTTGCATCTAGTGCCCTCTCGCGGAAACCTCTCATCTGCTCCATTTTTATTGCTTTTTTTCCCCAAAATGAAATGATTGCCCCACAGAGAGAAGGAGCACGCACAGAGGCTGCAGTTCTGCCCAGGCCCAGGACGGCGAGCGGTGCTGGGGACTGGCTCGTGCCTTCCCGCCTGCCACCAGGAAGGAGGATCGCATCGGGGGAATGGAGGATTGCAACCACCACAAGATGAAGCTTTCCCAAATACACATGCTCCATGGTGGCAATCCAGGATGCTCTGACCCCAACCCCGCCGGTGCTAACGGAAGGTCTCCTGCCAGCACCATCACAAGCTGCCGCCTGCTTTGCTCCCCCCCCTCACCTCCCAAAAAGCACGAGATAATTGGGAATAGGAGCAAAAGGTGAGGACAACGTTTCTCTCAGATGTCCAAATGTCAAAGTGATGCCGGCATGGAGCTGGGGGCAACAAAGAGCCGTCGGGATCGATGTGGCTGGTGGGGACAGGAGTGGGATGCGAGGTCAGCTGCTGGGAAAAGCAGTGCCTGAGCCAGCGGAGCAGCAGTGCCATCGCCTGGAGCCCTCCGCCAAGATGCTCTGCTCCGGGCAAATCCCAAAGCAAACAGAAACACATGTTATTTTTATTTTTCCATAGCCAAGACTTCTCCCAGCAAATGGAGACTCCCCAGCAAAGGGGCCAAGCTTAATGACAGCCTTCCCTTATGCCAAAGCATCGAGAGTCTGAGCATCCCTATTCTTTCCTGTTTCAACCCAAAAGTGTGGGGAACACTGCTGGACATCCCTGCTGCTGCTGGGTCAGACTTGCACAGGGCACACTATTTTTGCATCAAGGTGGTGCAGCTCTTGAGCATGGCTGGGACAGGGGAAACTCTCTGGTATAGGGCTGGAGGAGTCCCCAGCCAAATATGAAGAATAAATGGGTTTGGGGATGGTGTTTGGGGTAGCCCTGGGGATGGAAGGTGGTGGTGGAGCGCTGGAGTCAGGCTTTGTTCAAGGAATATGGGGCTGCAGATGGTGGTGGCAAGCAAATTCACTGTACCAGAAAGCAAGGGTTTGCAGAAAACGAGGCCGCTGTGTTAGTTTTCCCCTAAAAGATAAAAGTTTCCATCTATGGCCGCAGTAGTTTCAAAGATCTGGTGACAATCCTGCCATTCTCCACCACTTTGTGCACATGTGCCTCAAACCAGGCTGTGCTCCGTGCTTCAAATGTGTTCAAGCCCCATCCTTCAGGCATAAATAGGTAAAAAAGATGAAGTCATAGTTATGGCTCACGAGGGCGATTCTGGGCAAGGTGGGCAGTACTGGGGGGGTCCCTGTATTGTCCCCGCAGGTGGGACCATGATGATGATGTGAATGTGGAAAGTCCATGGCGGAGGGCTGGTCCTACCTACAAAATAGCATACGTGCTGTCATATGCCATTTTAGCATATTGTGTGCTATTTTGGCATATATACTGCTTTACAGGATATACCTACACATATAGATCCTATATTGTCTTGTATACGTGATGTGTAATAAAGGATGTAGTGTGTTTATCTCAAACATGACATAATATGCGAGATAAACAAATAAAAACCTAAACGTAAATCTGTTTATTATACACAAACACACACAAATAATAGAGGGGGGAAAGGGTACAATCTACCCGTTCCTTAAAAAACGGGGGTTTGACACGTGCTGCCCTGATCCGCCCCCCGGCCCCGGCGCGCCGCGTTCGCGACCCCG